CGTATCGACAGCTTTAAGGCTCTTAATTTTATCGATTTCTTTATAAGCTTTGTCTCACTTTGATAAAATGAATACCGAGCTTTTACGCCACAATTCCCACCAAAGCGGTAGAAATGTGGTGCAGCGTGGGCTTCCAATGTGGTAACTACAGGTTTCGATTCCCAGTGCCAGCCACGCCTGCAACTTTTGAAGTTACTTCCACTGAATTTTCTAGCAGAGGAAGTTATTTCGAATGTGTTCCCAAGCAGGTGCATGACTATGCGGTAGAACACCTGCTGGCCACCCAAACGACCCTGGTTCGATCCTCACTCAAGCCCGGAAGTGTTTATTATTTGTTTTATTTGCATCTTTTTCGATCTTTCAGTCACTTACAACATGATGATGCTCACTCATAACCAACGACACGGCCGCCAACGCCAACGCCGCAATTTCAGCGAAACGAGCTGTTTAACGCTATCCCGTTAAAATATGCGCGAACATACGTAAAGTGTGGTTGAACGCCCCACCGCAAAAACTTGTGGCGTTTGCCTGGTGACGCCAGGCAAACGTTGAACCATATGTGATAAGGGTGATAAGGGCCTCAACTTTATCGACTGTTTTGATGCAGCTGTTGCGTTTCAGAGGAAAATTTAGCTTTGAAGCCACGTTCATCGTTGTGAGGTGTGACGTCAGACGAAAGTTGGGCCTTATCATGGGTGATAAGGGCCTAAACTTTTTCGACTGCTTTTGAGCAACTGTTTCGGTGAAGCAGACCTTTCAGGGGAAACTTTAGCTTTGAAGACACTTAGCTACGTTCATCGTTGCGAGGTGTGACGTCAGACAAAAGTTGGGCCTTATCATGGGTGATAAGGGCCTAAACTTTTTCGACTTTTTTGAGCAACTGTTTCGGTGAAGCAGATCTTTCGGGGGAAACTTTAGCTTTGAAGACACTTAGCTACGTTCATCGTTGCGAGGTGTGACGTCAGACAAAAGTTGGGCCTTATCATGGGTTATAAGGGCCTAAACTTTTTCGACTACTTTTGAGCATCTGTTGCGGTGAAGCTGACCCTTCAGAGGAAACTTAAGCTTGGAAGACACTTAGCTACGTTGATCGTTGGAATGTGAGAATGAAACAAAAGTTTAGCTTTGTAATAAGTGATAGGGGCTTCAACTTTAGCAGCGTAGCTATATAAGCTGAGCATTGGTCCGCGGTGCGTGAAGAGAAATGACAAGAAAAGGAAGAGCCTGGCATTTTTGGTGCAGACCCACGCTGGCGGATTGGCCCATCATCACTAACCGGCAGACGCTCTTTTCTTCTTTTTCCTCTGCTGCTTCACTTCCAAAACACCCCTGGAAGTGAGAGAACGAATGCTGAGAGATAGAGAAAGAAAAGATAAAAAAATGGTCGCTGAAAAAAAAAATGGCGATGCAGGGATTTGAACCGAGGTACTGCCTATCCGCAGCAAGCGAGTTTACCACTCGACTATGAAGGCGCGTTAGCAACACACGGCAGAGATTTACATACTATAGTGTATCGATGGGTGCGACAGATAATTGATCTTGAGGAGGAGAGAAAGGAGGTGTGGAGATAGTAAATCGTAGCATAGACAGAATGAGGAGGAGCAAAGTATAAGTAACTGCAGAATAAGAATGACAAAGACAAAGGGAATTATATAAATGAACAGAAAGGAAAAAAAAAGAAGGTAACCTTTTTAAATCATGCACCAAGACGTGCGCCGGGGTACACGTCTACCCATTAGAAAACTATCGGTGGTTTTCCGGCCGGCGTTGAGAATCGAACACAGTACCTTCGCATTCTAAAGCGCATGCCCAAGCGTATCGACACCACTGCAGGCGGGCAAATCCATGCTTGAAAGGCTCTAGTTATTGCTGCAGCTTTATGCAAATTCACCGGAACATTGCGAATTTGATAATTACTTGCATTGCAGTCGAAAGCTGCGACGACCATATATGGTCGTCGCAGCTTTCGACTGCAACAGCAGCATCTTCTGTAACAGCAGCCATGTGACCTATAGGTCACACAGCTGCTTTTGCAGACGAGGCGTGAGGCCTAATAAAAAATAAATCTGCACCGCTGCTAGAACTAGCGGCATTGCAGCGAAATGGAGTGAATGCAATTGGGGTTCGGCAGCGATTTTTTGTCAGAAGGTTAGGCTCTGGGGATCTGGGACTTTTCAATTTTCGGAAGTGGCGTCACTCATTGTGAAATAGGTTTTGAAGGCAGTTCTGACTAAAAAAGTACACCTAAAAAGTCTATTGGCTTACTTTTTTAGTCATAAATGCACCCGAAACCCATTTCATGAAAACGTGACGCCACTAGAGAAAATCGAAAAATGCAACATTTTTCGTTTTCACAAAATTGTGTTTAAGATGCATTTTTGAATAAAGAGGTGGCTTTTTTTTCAACTTTCCATACTTCGAACAGGTGTGTTGCGTGTATGTCTACACACTTAATTGAGCATGCCTTGGTTTTTTCGTTACAGGCTGTTTTACAAGAGCGCTCGTGCTACTTGTGCGTCAACAGTCACACTAGTGTCTGCTACACCTCTAGTTACGCAGTGAACTAAGCTAGTTACCTCAACAAATGTAGGTATACTCTGAGAGGCTCTAATGAAAAAAGAAAGAGGGAGAGACATTTTGAGCTTTTTAGTCACACTCTAAGTAAACCTGAAGTAAAAAGGGTGTCTTATTGTACAACAAGAAAGATAGTATTTGGCTTGCCTGCGTTTCCTTTTTCAAAAACTCAGAGATCACCATTCGACTGTCAAGGCTGGTACGCATGCCACGCTGATATTGCACATTTGCTTCGCAACCAGGAAATACTGTACGCGCAGTGACAATGCTAGAAACGGCAGGCAGGGTGAATGGCGATTAATGTCACGTGATGCAAAGAAACCATTTTCAGTACAGTTCTGGCTTCCCACGCATATGACTCTCTTCAAAGAGACACATGTACACTCTTCGCAGAATGTTATACATTGGTCGGAAAATATTGGGTCTCTAAAGAGTGTTGACGTGTTTTTACTAAGAGAGTCGTATGCCTAGAAAGTCTGCCAGTCACTGAAAGGATCGAGTTACTCATACGTGTTTGTTTTTCTTTGAGTCTGGTCGACTAAGACTGCTCCTCGGAAGCGCTGGCGCTTCTGGTGTGTCACCACCCGCAGCATTTTCTCCATATATTTCTAGTTGCGCAATGACCTACTTACCAGAACGGGCCTGTTGGGTGTAGCCCTTTAGGCTTTGTCGATGGTTCTAGTCGTGAATGAACCCCTTCAAGTCCCACTAGTTCAGCACACAGTCAAGCGATTAGGGGTTATAAGCGTTCACGGTGCGCATAGATATCCCGCGGGGCAAATTAATTACAATAAATATCCCAGAAGTTATGACAACACCTTTCTGAATGCACAACTGCCCCACGGAAACGCTGATTTTTGCACGGGAACACACAGAGCTCCTCTTTATAAACTTTCGAAAAGAGGGCCTTTCTTTCCTATTTTTGACGAATTGCTTGTGGTGCCGTATCTACGTTAGACAACATGCTCTGGCAGTGCCCCTCATCACGTGATTCTCGGCACAGGACCGAAGAGGAATGGAGCTCTGTGCTCAGGAGCTCAGAACTTGTACATCAACTCTGGGCTGTCCAGAGGGCCCACGACGCGGCGGTGAGGCGCGGCCTACCCGTTTCGACGTGGGAGTGGCCCGCTGCTCTACCTCTTTAAAGTAGGATTCCTCAGGATCTCAATAAAAGTTCTGTGTTTTCTGTATGTCTGCTCAGGAAACGACGAGTACAAGTTATACCAGCGGTGTTAACATGTTTATTCCGATACAGCACATTAGAAACGCTGGATACCACTTCAGTCTGGGGTTTCCTGCTGCTTCGGTGCTACGCACTCAGAGTCATTGGCTACGGTACGAACACTTCCTCAGGTCTTGAACGTGTACGTAGCATCGCGATAGTCCGTGGGTGGGGTGTCACGGCGCTTCACACGTGAAAGATGTCGACGGTTCTGCTGCGTCCCGAGTCACCGAGCTTTACAGCCCTCCTGCAGTGGCAGGGAACACCGGACATGTTGCAGCACGATCCGTCACGACGGCTGTCCTGGTTCGAAGCTGCCTGCGCCGCGCTGGGCGGCATTTTTCTCGACACCGACGAGAGTGAAGACACCGTGGAACCCCCAAGCCTGCACTGTCGACTGCCGGGCAGAATCCAGGACCGAGACCTGCTGCCCTTCCGTGGCTCCCGTCGTACCGCAGCCCGCAAGTAGGCGTTGCGCAGGGCCGTTGGACCTGTGTTGTGAAAACATCGGAGGCTGCGATTAATTTATACTTAGGAATTTCGCTCGAAAACATGGCGACAAAGGGAGGCTTCTGGCGTGTTTTTTTGACCGTATCACGCATATAGGAGGTTTACTAGGTGATATTTTTTTTTCGAAAAAGAGAAACAGTCATTAGATTGCACTAGTCCATTGTGCATCTCTTCTTTGTACCAGTGTCATAGCTTGAAATCGCTAAGATTTCCTCAAAATGTTACGTCCTCAAAATATTGTATTTCCTGAACTTTGTATCTACTTGGCTACCTGTGATGATGTATGCCCGCTTCCTGTATGGGTCTGAAGAAGACCTACAGTATTGTTAAATAAATAAATAAATAAATAAATAAATAAATAAATAAATAAATAAATAAGATTTTTCGACCTGACCGAATTTCAGTTTAGCTTCGGTGGCTGATTTATTGGATAGGCGAGTGATAGCATGACAGGTGTATTGAAGAGAAACCTCATGGGTCTCAACCAAACACGGAACCACAAAGAAACATATTTACATAAAGAGCGGACACTGCCGAAGGGCCCTGCGGCCGAGCTACTGCGCTGCTTTTAGCGCCACGAGTGGCTTGTCAGACCCGATAATGTCTTCAAGATAAATAAAATGAATTTTTTTACGATACTGGGATTCGAGCCCGTACACTCATGCTCCAAAAGCGAGTGTTTTTACTACAAGGCTCATGTTTCCACAAAGGGAACACATGTACGGCACATCTAAACCACACGAATGTGTATCCTTTGAGCAAAACAAATGCACAAAAACAACACTTTCTGGTCAGACTTTACTGATTTTTTTTTGTGGTAAAGCACTAAACGTTCTCAGCGGGACACGTTGTAGAGCGGATATAGAAAATTGCACAAATTAATAAAATTTATTATTTGCAAGAATTTGATGCGAAATTTAGGTTTCGATAGTCCTCCTGAGACGACTATTACATGTCTTGACAAAAGAGTGAAAACTAGCAGGGGTACGCCATTTAGAGGGTGGCCAGACCTTTTCTTGCTGGGCCGCGAAAAGGCTCGAGTGACCACTTTCTATAGTATATTTCCCTATGCACGAACGGTAACTGTCGGCGTCAACGCCAGTGTTACAAAACGTCACATGATCACAGATGACGTCTAACGGCGTCCATGACACCGAGATTTCTGCTTTTTCTACCTCGTTCTCTTTTCGAGCAGCCACGGAATGGAACGGCCTCCCCCGGGACATCGCCTCATCATCTGCCTTTCAAGACCGTATTGTTGATCATCTCAATGCTAAAACAACTTTTTCTGCTTATTGTTAACCTAAATAAAACCCCACCCCTTATGTAATGCCCCTCCTAGAAAGGGGGGCCTTTAAGGTAATAAACTGAACTGAACTGAATTTGTGACGTAATCATGACGTTATAATGGGTCACGTGACGTCATCGCTCTGGAAAAGTTGGGCGATCCTGGACGCGAGGCAAAATCACATCGGCCAAATGTATTTAACGAATAGGGGGTGATTTGGAGGATCAGTGTACTATACTGAGGAGAGAAAAAAACAAGCTAGAGCAACGGGAAGATGTTTTTTCCTTCAAGATACTCTTCGACGAATGCATGAGAGGCCTTGTAACTATGGGATTTAACATCTTTATCGCGTTTCCAGCAAATATACCATTGTAGTTGCAGATTCACACGTGCATTGCCCATTTGTGATCACCATGGGATTTTGGAAAAAGAAGGAAGGGCGTAATGAGTAAGCCAATGCATGCAACTGCAAGAGAAAGGCTCTTAACTTGTTTTCTATAACCTTTTTACAAGCGAGGAGTACGTGGAGGCTACGTTAATAAGCCAGCTACTACCAAAATTGCAGAGGAATATATTGTGGGTGACTATGGCATTTTCACAAAATATTGACATAACTTGCTGGTTTCAGCGTGACTAATTAAGTGTCTAGTGTTACGTCACCACAAAAAGTAATTTGGTAGTACACAGTGTAGAATGTAGAAATGTATCTAGTTTCTCAGTTCAGTATTTTATTGCGATGTGTAGGCTCTCACAGCGGCCGTCAGTGCTGCCCAAGATACGGGAAAACTAGTACTTCTGGCGTAATTTAAGAATCACGCTTCACGTCACATTGTACGTATGTGCTTGTTATTCTTGTTTACAGCAATGTGTGACCATATGCCCGTAGTTATGTGAAGCTGCATTGTGATGTCGTTAAGACGAAATTTAAGCGTTACAAACAACTAAACGAATGCGGCAAAGTTAAGATCTTATTAGCGGCTGATTCATTTTTGTGAGCCTAATTAGCAGCAGCTGTCACCTCTTTCGAGTAGTGAGGTTACTAACACTACCTTACTACACAAGTAGTCAAGATTGCGCCAAACAGATCGAAGTAGATAACTACAACTGCACTGTATAAATGCGCGTGCGCATGTGCGTGAAACAGCAAAACAACATCCTTGTATTTTTTTTTTGTCAGGCACTACCTTAGAAAAAAGGTACGTCACAAGAAAAAAAGAAAGCTTTAAAGGGGTAACCTACCTCTGAATCCATGAAGCAGTAGAGCACCGACACGAATATTCCCTGGAAAGCACATGTAGATGTACATTTAGTAAAAAAAAAGCACATGTACAAGAGTAAAATAAATAATGAAAATATGTTTCGGAATAATTATGTGATCTATGACAATACGGTACCATTTCCTCGTCAAGTGGCATTGCTGAGGAGAGGTGGTATATATGGACCACTTTGGCTGATCATTACATAAAGCAGCGCACCATCAACATAATGAGTGGATTCTGATAAGGGTACAAGACTTGGTGTTCTTACCCCTCATATAATATTGAAATATTGAATATGCTCCCTCAAAAAAATGGACTATCAGGTCAGCTGCAGGTACCTCCATAAATCTACTTAATTTTTTTTTAAACTCGCCACCTCTGTGATGTTTCTTATCCCCTATAGAAGACGTTGTTTTTGAAGAAGTGGATGTGCTGTAAGTAGTTAAAATTAATTAAATTGATACAGCTATGTTCTACGAAGATTAGAAAGAGGGTAAAGACAATGGTAAGAGTGCGAGGGGAAGACGGTGAAGCGCCAATGGGAAATATTTTAAGCGGAATGACATGGGAGCGCATGTCGTTGTTCATAATCATCCGATTTCTAACCGAGGGCACACTACTCAACAAAGTCAAGCAAGGCGCCATCTTAAGGTGCGAGCACGGATGCATGAGACATAAACTTGACGGCCCCACAGTTGGCGTATTTAACCGAAAGATATTTCGAGAATAACGATAATCATTGCAAAACTGTGCCTCCGTCCTGTGCAGAGCCATGCACCCATGGTTCTACTGCGTTATGACGACCCCATAGGCGTAATATTTCGGTACTAGCACAGGGAGAAGCTGTTTTAGTGGTTTCACTGCGAGATGTTTGTACATGTAGGTTGCCAGCTCTGTACTTTGAGGGGTCAAATAGTGGTAGAAGTGGTTTCCAAATGTGTTCATCGCAGCAAATAGATTCTGAAATAAAGAAGCTTCATAAATAAAAGTGAAACAGATCTGTGTGCGCATTTCTTCCCAAGGTTGGGCACGTCCGATTGGCACCTTTTTGAAAGAATAAAGGAAGGCAATCCCCAACATAGCGCAAACTGGTTTTATCTTGTAGACGATCCCATGAAAACAGTGTCGATTTGAATTCAAAAGAAATCTAGCCAAAAGCGATAGAATAAGTAGGAAGGTTCGTACTCGGAAATGATGAGCAGAGGGAGTAAGAGGCTGGCGTTGATCTGGCGATATATGTGGGAAAACTCTGAAACTGGTTGGCCGTTACCGGAACAGCCTTTGGCTCTCCCATAGTAGAGTGCGTATAGTGTTCGAAAGCGTTCACAATTTTTCTAAACACAATTCTACCGCTCTCTTCGAAAATAAATTCTAATTCTATCACGTTTTCTCGTTGTTTAACATTGATGTGACCTAAAGGTCAGATAAGTTGGCGCAAAACGATCAAGAACAAATCCTAGTGTGAACTCGGTTCCTAATCAATGTGGACGCCGAGTTCCCAGTGCTAACGATAATCCAAGCATCGTGCGTTTCACCAAGGTTATGTAGGGACGATGATCCCGTAGCGACTTCATTATGCTGGGCCTATACAGTTTCAGAAACTTGTATTGCGAAGCATCGACATTACCTGTGACGATTGGAGGACAGCGTTGATGATCATGTAGGCTTCCTTCAGTCCCATAGTCTCGTTCTGTGGGTTGATGCAAAACAGCAGGTGCGTGATGCCCAGCAGAGGAAACAGTAATGCCGTGGCCTTGATGGCTTTTCTGCGCACGAACGAACAAAACAAGTTTAAAGCACAAAAAAAGTATGCTGTTAGTATAAGAAAGTCAATAGGGCAACGCATTCGTGGTCCTTCATGAAAAAAAAAATATATGCGCTTAAGAGATGGAACGATATCGTCGCCGAATGAATGATCAGACATTGACAGGCAGGGGATATCAGAATATTCGCTTAGTTTGATATTAAGCAATACTTCAATACTTACACAACTGTATTCATTATGCGATCCATAGAACGTGCAAGTTCCCCCCAGTAATTTTGAAGCAGGTCGTGTACAGTTTAATTATGTAGGAGTGATAATAACTATCGACGTATAATCTCGCAAAACAGCATTGTGATTAAGAGGGGCGATGTAGTGAAGGGCTTCCGAAATTGCGACCACTTGGCATTCTTTAAGCGCACTATATGCTTAAGCACACGAGGCTCAAGCACTCTGCCCCCGTCGAAATCCTGCCGCCACCTTCGGGTTGTGCTATTGCAACCTTCATGCATCGTAGGCTATTTTACCTGAGATATACAGGTGCCGCAATCTTGGGCTATTGAGTAAATATGTTCTTGTTTTTTTCTTCTGTAGATTGCGATATGAATTAATAAGGCCACGAAGCATCGTATGCACCAATCTAACCGCTTTTAAGTGTCTATTGCAACACTGTTCGTTTAGTAATTGAAAATGCTACAAACGCAAAGATTAACTGCCCAATAAGGCAGCGCTGAAACCCCATAAAATAGCCCATATAGCCCTCCGCGGCGGGTGAATTGTGTAGGGAAAAGACAGTCGATTTTACCACCACTGTTTCACTTGGCAACGAGTTAACGAATGTCAGCGAACAAGGTCAGTGAATGATCACATGTCAGCAGTTTTACCTTACGCAGCAAGGCCAGCGGTACGCACTAACAAAAAGGTACGCACGAACAAAGGTAACCTACACGCTATACCACTTGATATATTTCATGACCGGGCATCCAAACGAGCACTTGCCTGAACTGTGTGGTTTCCAGTGCCGACGCCTTGGGTTTGATTCGTGTCACGAGGATCCTTACGATGTTCACCAGAAATACGGAGTTCACCTGTCAATCAGACGAGGACGATCGTTATCTGGGGTCATCGATTTGGTGGGACCACCGCAAGGTGCACGGAACGCGCGTATACGATACAAGTAATTACGATACACGCAACTCACCAGTATGGCTACAAGACGTGGTGCTATGAGTATCCACACGTTGGGGCTAGACCCGTAGCCTTCCCAGCATGCTGTGTGCAGCTGCTTCTCTGTCACGTATGCCCAGGCCAGGATGAAAACGAGGGGCAATCCTGCGGGCGAAATTTCTCGTTTGTCACAGAAGATTAATTGATTTTTTTTTGTTACAACTACAAATGCTTGGCGCCAGTAGCCATGGCGCTATAGGTAACGATCCAGTGCTCTATAACACGGAAAGGAAGCGTCATATGCACATAACCTTGGTTCTGTCCTTCACACTGTTTTGATCATCCGTATTGTGGAACGCACCGCTGGGACCGTTTACGGCAGCCAAATCGGCCACGCCAGTCATATAACTACGATGCTACCAAAACAACAATTCACAGTTCAGCACTTATGTGGGGAAACTGTGCAAGTGACGGGGGAAGCCAACCACACGAACCACTCTGTCTACCTTAAACAGTTGTAGCTATAAATGTGATTTCAATAGTACGTAGGCGTTCGCGTGCAGAAGGAAGGAAGGAAAATAGGAGGAAAAGAACGACAGGGAGTTTAACCAGCCTATAGGCAGCCAGTTTGCTACCCTGCGCATGGGAAGGGTATGGGGGAAGTGAAGATAAACAGGAGAGAGGGAAGAAAGATAAACACAGCACATTCGGCAGCACACGCGCGCACGCTCAGTCATGATCCAGTCTTGTCTTTCGCGGTGTGTGACATTGCTGTTACAGTCGCTTGTTCAAGTTCGCGTCGCGTAGGAATTGGAACAGAGCTTTTGTCGCCTTCTGTTGCAATGTCGCGTGCAGAAACCGCACGATGCGATTACGAGCCATGCCGCGCAGTCGAGCACTCGGCACATATCGACCGCCTACGCAGTGTTCTTTCACGAGTAATGACATCGCACACCACACGGGCCTCTGGAATTTCATCGGAATACGAATGCTGTGGCTAGGATCGAGCCCGGAGACCTTCGGGTACGGAGCCATAAGAGCAGTACCACCGCGGCTCGATTAGGGATTAAATGTTGATGCGTATCAAACGCGAGACGTTGATCGAACGTTTGCGATTTTCAAAGATGTCCCCATTCCCCCTCTCTGCCAACTCTGAAGTTGCTCTTTAAAAAATGTATGGATTTAGGATGTAAAACATCGGATATTATTATTATTATTATTATTATTATTATTATTATCAAGGACTTCTGAGAAAGCCTGTGCTATAATAAAAAAAAACATTACAGAGAAGCTTTGGAAAAAATAAAGGAGCATTTCAGCATGCAGTCAGCGCGCATTACATATTTCATTACTAGTAATTGACCCTTCGAATCAACAAATTTCTTACAACTATAATAACTAGTAGCTCTTAGTGTTACACAATACAAAAGTTATGGGAAGAAGTCAAGCAATATCTTCTAATGGGCGTGCCGATTTCAAGAAAAAAGAAGAATATAGATAAGCAAGGAAAACAAACAAAAACAACAAAGAAAGAACACGAACACCACATAAGAAAAAAGAAAAACATTAAAAAGGGACGAAGGATAAAAGGGGCAAAGGAAAAGGGGAAAAACGGTGCCGTGGCGTGTACAAAGGGCCTCGTCCCACGCAAAGCTGCAAAGAGCGTGCGCGCGTTGTATGCCGAATGGGGAAAAACAGAAAGGAAGAAGGCAAACGCTATAATCCCGCCAATGCGCGCGTTTTTCCCTGCTTTGGCGACGGACGTAGCAGCGCCGTTCACTTAAGACACCCCACCATACGCGCCTTTTCACAAAAGCCGTACATGTTTCTAAAAAAAGAGAAACACCTGCACGCTTTCCTACAAGGAGATGATATTTCGATGCGTGGCAACGTATATACGTTGAAAAGACGCGAAAAGGCGGCGCATTTCGGACGAGTGGAATGCGAAACGCCGTTGAAGGACATAGAACAGAGGGAGCCGAATGATGAAACGCTCTGTAGGTCGTGCACTTTGCCGCATTCTCGAGTAGTCGGGTTTTCTGGGACGAGACGCCAATTGTTGCGTATGCGCCACTCGACTGCTATTCGCTGTGCACGCGCGCTTTTAGGTTGGTCACGTGGGATCACGGCGTAACCTGCGCAAAGTTCATAGTTTGCCCCCAAAAGGTGCCATGCTCATATATGCATTTGCTTAAAAGGGACACTAAAGAACAACAATGACTTGGTTTAGTTTGACAAACTACATTCTGAGAGCTTGAATGTAAACATTCGACAGAAGTCTGTCTGGTTGGGTATGAAACTGGGAGATGATACACATGGACTGCGCTCCATGGAAAAACGAGAGAGGGAGAGAGAGAGAGGCCATTATCCACCCCGCGAGTGCTTTGAAGAGGCCGCTGCTACGTAGTCCCGTGGTCACCCCTGAGGTAGAAACCAAGTCGGCTTCGAAACGTCGGGTTTTTTTTCAAAACTTTTGGTTGAAGCCTAAATCATCTCCCATTCTGAGAACGTTAATGCCACAGTTTTAACAGTCATAAGTTAATTATTAGCGGAGAAAATTTAAGGTAGAAGTTTCATTTTTGAATATCGCGCCAAAATCTAGACGCGTGACTGAAGAAATTTCAGACATTTTCTGTAATTTCATGGCATTGGCCTAATGACCTTTTCTGAAGCTTCGTATGCCACCCAAAGATTATACAAAGCACATATTTTTTATCGATTGGAAGCTACGCAGGACCCAGTAGACGACTCGAAAATTTCTTACGTCACAATGTTTGATGCGGGAATCTCAAGGTGGCGCCGTCACCCGCATTTACTTCTTGCGCGTTTTTTTTTTTAGGGGAGAAGCTTCTTATAGCGGCCCCCGTTCGTCCCTCGTAGCCTTTGTATGGTGTGTAACAAGTATAACATTTTGACCTCCAAGGTGGTGCCGGTGAGAGATTTCTTCTGTGCGTTGTTGAACAATAAAAGATAGTGCTCAATGTACATGCCAATGGCTGCTAAGGGAGAATGAGAGACAGGAGAATTCAGCTGTTAGTAACACGCACGCTGCGAATTTTTTATTGTTCAACAACGCACAGAAGACAAGAAAGGGTTGCTACGTTATACTCGCTGGGCGTAACCTCCTAGGTTTTAGAAAGGTTTAGCGAGCGTTGGGCCGCAGCGCCATGAATACAGTGAACTATAGTTTATACCATGAACTCGAGGTGGTTAAAGGTGGGAGTGTGTGTATTTTTGCGCTTGTTTCATCATGAACACGCCCAACAGGCAGTCATCCTAAAAGATGGGAAGTAGACACGAAGCGCAAGCCGTAAGAAAGTGTGCGTGTGCCTCCTCTCGTTCACTCCTTGCAATGTCCGCTGGATGGCGGTGCTTCTTTATGAGGAATATATGATGAAAATATGCGAGATTGGATTGGATAAACTTTTATTTGGTCCTCCAAAACATAGATCACTGTGTTGCGGGCAGCTCCCACATGGGGACTGAGATGCCAAGCTCCTCAGCCGCCTCGCAGGCTTGGTGGACAGCCCAGAGCTGATCTGCCAAGGACGAGCTGCGGATTGCCGCTTCCCATCTGGCAGAGGTGATGTTAGATAAATGAGCGAATTAGGTGCACTGCCAGAGCATGTGTTCTAATGAAGCTATTTCCCCACAATGGGGACAAAGATTACTTGGGTATAGGTCAGGGTACATGATGTTTAACATTTTCAAAGTAGGGTACATCCGCGTTTGCAAAAGCCTTAATGTAAGTGCTTGGGGCCGAGTTAGATTTTTGTGAGGTTGAGGGAAAATCCTTCTAGACAGGTAGAAATGTTTAGTGAGCTCGTTATATGTTGTAAGAATTTCCCGGTTATTCCCTTCACCGGTAGAACGCATCCCCGGGGAGGCGCGGTTGGAGAGGTCTCGCGCCGCCTCGTGTGCTGCTTCATTGAGATTGGGAGGGGAATCGTTGGTTTGTCCAAGGTGAGCGGGGAACCAACTCAGCAGATGATGCGTTATGTTCTTGCCTTGCAGTACTCTCAGCGTTTGTTCAGAGACCGTCCCTTTGGCGAACGCCCGTAGTGCTGCCATGGAATCACTGTAGACGACTTCAATGTTATCCATCTTGAGTGCTAAGGCGATGGCCACCTGTTCCGCCATGATTCGGTCTTTCGTCTTGACCGTCGCTGAGTTGACGACATGGCCAGCCCCATCGACCACCACTGCCACAAACGCTTTCCCATTGGCGTAAGAAGCCGCGTCAACAAATACGACCCCTCGTTTGAGACTTGAAGTATAGTCCTGGCCCTCGCTACTCTTCTTCCGATGTTGTGTTCTGGATGCATGTTTCTTGATATAGGAGACACCGTGATATTCTCCCTGATGTTGTCGGGGATATCATTGTAATTGCGTCTGATAGCCATTGGGTGTTGGCCCAGCTCCAGCAGGATCATTCTCCCCGACCTTGTTGTAGATAACCTTGCAAGCTGTGCTCTCTCTTGGGCTTCTGCTATTTCTTCGAGCATGCTGTGAATGCCGAGCTCAAGCAGACGCTTGGTGCTGGTATGTATGGGTAGGCCCAGGACCTTCTTGATAACTTTCCTAAGGAGCACATTCAGTGTCTCGGACTCTGCTATTGAGCAGTTGTGCATTGCTGTCTCGTACGTGAAGTGGCTTAGAACAAACGCATGCATCAACCTGATGAGGTTGTCTTCCTTGATCCAATTTCTTTTGTTGGCTACTCTGCGTATGAGGTGCACCGCACTGTCTGTTTTCCAAGTTAACTTGGCTATAGATTTGCTGTTGGCGCCGGTAGACTCTATCAGCATGCCCAGGACTTTGATGGAGTCAACCCTCTGGATGACATCCCCTTGATTTGTACGGAGGTGGATGTCTATCTGGTTTAACGGCTTCCATCCCCTGGGCTTCGGTCTCCGGCGTGCAGTCCGATACAGTAAATGTTCCGACTTACTCGAGGAGCACTTGAGCCCGGCAGGAGGAAGGTACTCTTCTACGGTGTCAATCGCCTCTTGCAGAGCGCTCTCAATCTGCCCCTCGCTTCCAACTGTACACCAGATGGTAATGTCATCTGCGTAGATGCTGTGCTTCAATCCTTCAATGCTCGATAATTTCTTTGACAGTCCAATCATGGCAATGTTGAACAGCATTTGTGAAATCACTGCCCC